TCTGCGTCGTTACTTGCGTAACGATGGCTCCTAGGCCAGATTAAAGTGCACGTAAATGAGTTATCTGACGGCCGTCTGAACAGGGGGAGACGGGCCCCCGCTCTGACGGCTAACTCGTATCGTTCTATGTTCTGGGCGGTGAGAACCGCCCAGGGACATGGGTGTACGGTGTGTACGCGGTGTGGAGGGGTGTGCGGCGCGCCCGTCTGCGGACTGGCTGCATGCCATCCATTGTAGTCCTAACAGTGTGGCACTAGGTGAGTGTGTAGTATTTATGTGTGACTGGCCGGCGACATTTCGGTCGTCGGCATCTAGCGGAACGGGGGGTTCGATTAGGACGTTACGGGGCCGCCGGAGGCTTTCCGTAACGTTCGAAGTCGGAGCGTATGTGGCTGCATTTACCACTAGCGGGTTGGGATGTGTGAATACTCAGAGATCGTCGGAAGTTGACAATCTCTGTGTAAGTCGGACTTTTGCTAGTACCGCCGAGCTCCGGTGGCTATGCGAATGAATCTATTTTGGACGACTTGGAGATCGTACAAGCACATGAGTAAAGAAACCGACCAGAGGGGAAGCTACATACAAACGGCTCGCTGCGAATACACGCATACATAGCGCAGCGATGTGCGCGTGAGCTCTCACCGACAGGTTCACCGACGCTCCGTCGGGGTACAAACCGGTTTGCGCCGGCTCAATCAGAGTATCCTTGAAAGGGCTGTTAGTCGTGCGCATTTAAATAAATAGACCAACAATATTTCGAAAATTTATACATCAATTAATTTATTAAGTATTTTTGCAATTATTAAATAATTAGATTTAAGTCTTTTTATTAAAATAATTAAGTTATTATTATAGGTAAATAATATATATTGTTTAAAATTAATCGATACGAAACAGCTCTTGATTTCGAACAATTAATAGATATTATGTTGTTACATTATGTAACATAAGTAATAATTAATATGCATGTTGTTTTATACACTATATGTATAATATTTTAATTTTTTCCTTATTGTTTAAAATTAATCGATATGAAACAGCTCTTGATTTCGAACAATTAATAGATATTATGTTGTTATATTATGTAATATAAGTTATAATTAATACGCATGTTGTTTTATACACTATATAATATTTTAATTTTTTCCTTATTGTTTATAATTAATCGATACGAAACAGCTCTTGATTTCGAACAATTAATAGATATGTTGTTACATTAATATAAGTTATAATTAATGCACATGTTGTCTTATGCTATACAATATTTTTATTTTTTCCTTAAATTTTTCACATGCATCATGTGACAACCCTATAAGAATAGGTATACATTTTCAACGTTGTTAAGAAGCTTCCCCTCTGGTCCTTACTCTTTACTCTGTGATACAAGTGTCTATGGGCCGCGTGCGCGAAAACTACGCTTTTTTTATAGGATAGGGTAAAAAAAAGGGTAAAAGAGCACACAGTCCACCTGATGGTAAGTGGTTGCTGTGGCTCATAGACATCTACATCTATCCTCGTTTGCGAATCAAAATACTGATGCGTTGTCACCCGTGAGGACTAAAATGGAATGCTTCATTTCCAGTAAAAAGGGTCTCCGGTTCTCTACACTCACCATACGAAACACAGCAGTGTTAAGCTGCTATTTAACGCTGGTATTCTGTGAGAGCGTGGTCCTTCCCCGCTCGAGCAAACCCATTCGTACTACAACTATACTACTAATACAGCTGCAGCATGACTCTACCACGCTTGCGTAAGACATGATAGGTCTTACGCATGCTTTGTAAAGGTGGAGCTTATGTCTTAAGGACAGTTTACTCTTTGTACTAACTAGCGGGTGGAGGCGGCTAGTGACGATTTTGGCACGATTGCGGGCATTGCGAATGTGTTTCGCGAATGTTACACCGTGGTCAAGGTCAAATGTGACCCCTAGATATTTGGCCGTTGATTTCCAGGGGATCTGGCGGCTGTACAGAGTGATCGTACCTAACGATTTCTTGGGATTTTTGTATTGTCGATTGAGAGTGGGCGTGGTTTGAAAGTGTATTGTAGATATGAGCGCCGAAGGCCAATTCCACGGCGGCGGCGTGGCCTGAAAATTTTCTCGGCGGCAGCGGTGTCGCGGCGGCGAGGCGTAGCTGGCCATAGGCCTTAGATATTGTTTTATCAGGAAGAGATTTCTTAAAAAAAAACTTAAAGAAAACCATATTTTTGGTACCAAAAACAACTTTGTATTTTTTAATAAAGCCCTGGGGAGCCCCAGCTCAGTGATGGGAACAGTATTCCATGTGAGGCCGAACCTGCGCCTTGTAAAGTTGCAGGCTGTGGGCCGGCATGAAATACTGTCCCGCTCTGTGAGCACGCAAAGCGTTTTAGAGGCCAATTTGACCTTCTCTTCCAAGTGATCACAAAACTTGTACGTCATTCGATATGTCGACGTCGAGGATTCCAATACTGGCTGAGGCAACAAGGGGAGTGCCTTGAAACTGAGGAGATGCTCCGATCTGCAAGAAAGCTGGAGATTCAATTGCACAATTTCTCGGGAAGCCCATAGAAAGGGAGCTTCGAAAGAAGCGCTTTGTGCCAAACCCGATCGAAGGCTTTCGCAATGTCCAAACTAACGGCCAATGCCTCCCCTTGGACTCTTATACCTACACCCATCTATGAGTCAGGTAGATCAGAAGATCACCAGTTGACCGACCCCGACGAAAACCGTATTGGCGGTCACTAATCAGCTAGAAATCCTCAAAATACTGCATGAGCTGGCAGTTTATAATGGATTCCATTATTTTGGAGAACAAGGTGATGGCGATGGGCATAGCTAGATGGGTCTGGGCGGTCGCCTTTTTAGCCAGCCTGCAGAATGCAATCGCGACGTTATTGTGAGTGGCACCACACTTCGGACTAGACAATGATCTGAGGAGCCAAGAGGCGAGTGGACGGAGACCTGATATGTATCTGAATGAGAGGTCAGCAGAAGGTCCAACAGGGAAGGTGCATAATCTTCCACATCTGGAATACGCGTAGGCGAAATTACCAGTTATGTGACCATATGCTAAGGCAAAATCATGAACAGATCTTCCCGCATGAGCGGTTAAACATGAACCGAGCCATTCGGCGTGGTGGGCGTTACAATCGCCGAGGATCACAATCTCTGCGGGTGGGATCTGCTGTAGCAAGGATTCTGTAGCCATTTGGACGTGGTCGATGAGTCGGTCTGTTTCGGCATTATCGCTACGGGACCTATAGAGGCACCCGTAGACGCGCGGATGGTCGTCGCTATCTACGTGTAGCCAAAAGATGGACAGGTCCGAACCTTCAAGACTGCATCCTCAGACAGATCTGCCTCAACAGATCTCCTCTCTGACGTATGCGCAAACTCCAGCCCGAGGCACAAAGGAGTGTTCCAATTTGTACCCCGGGTAGGAGAGTTACGAAGTATCAGCCGGAGAGGACACCTGCGTCTTGGTCAGAAAGAGTAAGGCCGGCTTCGTCGTCTCGAGATGGTAGTGGACGGCGTTTAGGTTCGAGTGAAGTCCCCTGATGTTACAGAAAGTCATGTGGCAGGGGTCGCCTTGGCCTTGTTGCTCAGCTTGCTCCGAGCAGTTATTGTCTTGAGCGGAATTTTGCCCCTACCCCCTCCCCCCAGAATACGTGGAGCAACCTGAGCACCCAGGAGTGGTAAGTCCCTTCTCAAGAGTGGAATAGCTTGATTGTGGATGCTCAGCAAGGGATTCTCCATTACCAGGGGTGCTGGTACCCTCCCGGGATAGTATTACATTTAATTCCGTTACCATGTTGAACGGGAAGGTGGGGGGGAGGAATGGTTCTCCTGCACTGACCAGACGAAACGCAGAAGCGGATCTTCCATTTCACGCCGGTATTCTGTGAGGTCGTGGTACCACCCCGGTTTGAGCCGGCCCATACGTGCAACAGTCGAAGTTGCTGCCATTGTTAATACCACACAACAATACACGTTCACTCGGTGAAATATTCGACTGGACTGAGTGAGCGACGAGCGTGGCGAGGCGACAAGGCGAACTAATACGGTCGGGCCGCGCATGTGAGCGGGAAAGGAACGCGTCGACATGAACTCACGGCGACGGCGGCGCGCCGGCGCGGCGCTCATATCTAGTGTATTGCTACACTTTTTTCAGGATTTAATTCGATTCTCCATAAGCGACGTTAATGATGCAGATGAAGCCGCAGACTAGAGAGAAGTCAGCGGCGAAAGAAAACGAGCCTTGTGGGACGGGCTTTGGTTTTGGGGCTTGGGAAGGCGGCGCTGGCCGTGAGGCGACGAGTGCCGGCGGTTTCACCCAAGCATTGGATTTTAGGGCGGAGGGCGCGGGAGGACTAGCACCTTGCTCGGCCGCCCCGGTGACTGGGACGGGCATGGTGGCGATATAAGGCGAGGAAATGGGTACGGTGGTCGGTGTGGGTTTGGGGGCAGACAGGACGGCTTCTACCTCCGCGTTGCTTCCTTCACGGCGCTTTGGAACACCCGCGATAATTAGCTTTGTGCCCTTACTCGCGGCAATTTACGCAGCTCGGGGTTTCTACCGTCGCGTGCGTACAGGGGCGGTCAGCGATGCCGTGGTCACCTAGGCACTTGACGCACCTAGGCCTGGTGTAACAATTTTTGGCCGAGTGGCCGTACAATTGCCAGAAAAACAAGGCACAGATCTAAGAAACGCTTTTTATCTGTCTGGTGGTGCACCTCTCGGACCGGGAGATTTTGGGCTTTGAGGTCGTTTAAAATGTGCTCCGTTTCAAGCTCTTTAGGGTGACCGCGGACGACCACGCGAATGTTGAGCTGCTCTGGGAGGGCGTAAGTGTGGAAGCTTACTTGCTAGGCGCGCAGGTGATTTGTTACACTGCGGAATCCCTCGGTCGAGTTTACAAACATGCGAATGCCCTGACCAGCGTTTTGCACCTTTGAGCAGTATATTTTTTAGAGTTCAACCAATTGGAAAGGTTATTCCATTTGGTTTTGTTTTGAACTATGATGGGTGGCGGCGGCTTTTTCCTACGTTTAGCAGGGGACCCATTCGCTGCGGGCTTGGCCGCAGACTTAGGGGGTTGAGCGCACGTCGCGGGGCCAGGCATTTTTGCCGGAGCGGCGGTGCGAGACGAGGGGGCTGAGTTAGGCTCGGTTGACTTTTTTGGGGCTGCACGTTTGCGCTTTTTGCCCTGGACGAGGGTGAAGCCTTCGTCTTCGGGCTTGCGCGGGATACGCGACTCGCTTTCCATATCGGAGCCTGATTCGGCATCCGAGAAGACCGAAGAGAGGGTACGCGGGTGTGCATAGCGGAGGGCGCAGTGGACGCGGCATCGTAAATTGTATCTATGGACACAGTAGTTGTAGGTCCGGTGCTCAGCGACAGAGGATCCTCGATTCGCACGGTCCGACGGTCGATGAGGCGCCAAACACGTTGGGTGGACGGTCCGACTAGAGGCGCAGACTCGAGTGCGGGCTCGGGCGAGGGACGGGCATTGCGCTGTGCAATAAACATAGCCCAGATGTCGGGGCAGGCTCGACTAAAAAAGTCGGCTAGTTCGTCGGCTGTAAACGACGCCATCTTGTTCACTATGCTAACACAAGCACAGATATGTACCAAGTTCACCCACCTGTCGGAGGGGGAGGTGTGTGGCTACGACAAACATCTATACACCTAGCGCGTTTGTACGCTAGGGTGTGTACCTAGCTGTTGCCTAATGCAACAAGCAACACAAGAATTAAAAACGATGGCCGCCTCTGAGGCGGCGGATGTGTTTCACTCTACTTACAGTTGCCGATACCAGTACCAGGAAGCTAGGAAGGAGAGTTATGCACAAAACACTCTTTGCATCACACAAGCGTTCATTATACTTCACTGTGAGACTGCTGTCACCCGGGACAGCTCCTTTCACCGTCCGTAACATTACCAGTCCATTACCTTTCGGTGTTCTTCAGGATACGTTTCGGAGTGTTTTTTTTTTCACCAAATGACAACCTGACGCTCGATTAGTATCCTCCCATTTGTTGTTGACACACCACGGGTCCGAACCAAACGGTTTGGATTAAAGTAATCTGTCGTTTCGTCCCATTACAATGTCGGATTTTCAAGGTAAGAGTGAACAGACTTTGGTTAAGCTAAGTCAGTGTGCTTAACCATATTCAGTTAAATCACAGGGATATATTTAAACACTAGCGTATAATGCAAGAAATATATATACACCACAAACCTCCAATCGACTCTTAAATCGGTCAATTCTTTGCAAGCTCTCTATGGACTGACCAGTATGTTGCTCAACACCCTGGACTTGTTGTTCCAGAGTAAGAAGCTTCTGTTGAAGCAAGGCGCCTTCTAACTGTAGACTGGATGCATATTGTAAAATTTTAGGTACTGAATTTACGATCTGCAATATAGGTAAAAATTTCATCATCTATATATTGATATGTGACGAGAAAACTTTGTATTCCTTTTTATTTAAACTCTACACCAGAGTTAAAACGTAGTGGTTATATTCTCTTTGCTCTACACAGTCCACCTAATGGTAAGTGGTTGCTGTGGCCCATAAAGATATACATCTATCTTCGCTTGCAATTAAAAATGCAGATGCGTTGTCAGCCGTGAGGACTAAGATAGAATGCCTCTTTTCCAGTAAAATAGGTCTGTGTTTACACAGCAGTGAAACACAGCAGCATTAAGCTGCTATTTTACCCTGGTATTTTGTGAAAGCGTGGTCCTTCCCCGTTCGAGCCGACCCATTCATGCTACAAATATACTACTAATATAGCTCCATGGACATTTGCTGACTTTACCTTTATATTCATCCAGCCTTGGGTATTTTTTGTACTATTCTCGTATGATTGGGATGCAAAAGTGAATATATATATATATTTATTTAAAGGCTGGCAACGTACCTGCGATTCCCCTGGTGTTGCAGTTGTTCATGGGCGGCAGTAGTCACTTACCATCAGGTGAGCCGCATGTTCGTTATATAAAAATCCCCTCTCATATAAAAAAAATCAAGGAGTAAATAAAAATAATTTGAGGATATAATATAATGCATATATTGTAAAACAAGATTAAATTCGACAAGTTACTTGCGTTGTTGTTTCGTCCAACGAATTAATTAACTGCTTCATATAGAGTTGTAACCTTGTGACAGTATTGGTGACAAATATCTGCAAATTGATCAATTATTGGGAAAAAAAAATTCTCGAGTGGCAGCCTCGTACCGGTAAACAAAGTGTAGAGCGGTCCCCCGCTAGATGGAGTGAGAACCTGGTAAGACATGCAGGAAGTCGATTGATGCAGGTGGCTCAGGATCGTGCTTTGTGGCAATTCTCGGGGGAGGCCTATGTTCAGCAGTGGACCTATGAAGGGCTGTAATGATGATGAGATGAGCAATTGTTTATTGCCTCCAAACATGAGTCAAATTAAAAAATATTTCATTTAAACCTATTTAAACTCTTAAAACATCACAATCTTCCATCATCTCAGTATATATTTAATGACTGGGTCCAAAGTTATATGGGTCTTTAGAGTTTTACTCTTGTGAGGTTTTGGGGTATTATGATACTATGATATAATATTTCAAATCTGAAAGACCCAAGGTTTTGCTAATAAGTAGCGCCTGAATGCAAATACGTAGTTACATCAATTGTCAAACTGCAAGTAAAAAATAAACATTTTTTACTTTCATGGTGAGGCCTTTTAAGTTCTATAAAGGCTATAGAATACTTCCATATAAGTGTAGTGTAGCGGTGGCGTTAGAGAATTCACTATCCCATATCATCATATGTATATCCTATATTTTCGGTTATATTTTTTGTGCACAAAAGTTTAAATAAAAAATAAATGAATTCTCCCATGAGTGTCGTAAATGGCGATAGATGAAAATTAAACACCACAACTCAAAATAATAAAAAAAAACTGCAGTTAACAATGCAGATGTGGTAGAGAGATTCTTAAATGCCAGCCTTTACAAAATCAATTTCAATTTGTTTATTTCAGATAATTAGGGAAGCCCAGACAAGAAGCATAGCAAGGGGAAGAATACTTCAATTATTCAAAAATATATAATTGATAGCGCTATAACACTTTCTCAAGTCGTGACATATGCGACCGGCCACGCCATGATAATTCAACTAAAACAATACCCTGCAGTTCTACAATAGTGATCTTTAGGCAAGTAGTTCAATTGTCGAAAAGGACTATCCACTAAGATAATAGGAAATAGGTTAGTTTTTGCTATTGCCTCAAAAACTATGTGCAATATGAGAAAACGATGAAATATATTAATCTTTTGCAAAGATTAAAAAAGCATAAGCATGTTAAAAATCAATTTTGCATTAAAATTGACATATGTCATTCAATCATTTCTAGTGACCCAATCATTCAAGTGTTGATTCGTCAAAATTCTGTAAAGATCATAACATCCAATTGATGATCCAATGAATCATTACCACGGGAACTAGTAGGGCCAAGGGTAGGTCGAAAAAATAATGTAGAATGAAAAATGGCGGAAGTGTTTTGTTTTTTATTTTTTTCCTTAATGTCCCATATATATTGATACTAAAACCAACCAGACACAAACAGTACAACCAAAGAGATTTTCCTTCAATTTTATAGAAACACAATACGTAGAAACTTTTTCCCCGACTTATTATATCATAATATGTACATATATTTATAAAAATAATTAATTGCTTATTATATAGGCATATAATATACTTATATGTATAATATTTTATTTGTTTTTTTACTCTCATTGTAGCTATTCATAGAAATATTATTTGAATTTGTTTTTGTAGTTTCCTCATTGAAATCTGAGTTTTATGAATATATATATTATAGGTATATAGATATAATAGAGAGATAACATAAAATATAAAGTATCACCAAGTATTGAATAAAACTATTTTTACGGATTTTATCGCGTTTAATTAACTTATTTTATATTTCCGACGTTTCGGTTGCTTTCCAGCAACCGTGGTCACGGGGGACCACGTGTTCACGAGTCCCCCGTGACCACGGTTGCTGGAAAGCAACCGAAACGTCGGAAATATAAAATAAGTTAATTAAACGCGATAAAATCCGTAAAAATAGTTTTATTCAATGTGTAGTGTTCGCGTAAATATTAGAAATCATTATATCACCAAGTAGTTTGAAAGTGGAATGCCCCGTCATGGAAAAGTTGACAAGTGATAAGTTTTTGTGGTATGGGCATATTGTACAAAGGGAAATAGAGAACAAGAATGTTCACTATGAAAGTAGACGGATAAAAGAGTAGAGGAAGACCAAACAATAGATGGATAGAGTGTATTACAAATGATATACGTAAGAAAGGAGTGAGTGAGTGAAGAGATGACTGCTAGAAGAGGGGAATGCAAGAGGAAGACATGCTGTGCCGATCCCAAATAACTTAGAGTAAGGGCAGTACCAAGTCTAAATAAAGTAAATAATTTATACTTATATTATCATCATCACACCCCTTCACAAGTTCACAAATGAACATAAGCCTCCTGAATCCATCGACTTCCTGGTCTCCATTAAATCTAGTAAGCTGCAGCCCTACACTTCGCTGGTATATAGGTGTAATTAAGTATTGTTTACCTCCTTTTCTTGATTACCACTAGCAATCCACGCCTTGTTAATCCATTTTTTGGGATCGAAATTTTCTTCCGCAAAAGTTTTTATATCCTGTGTTATAAATTGATTTTACTTTTCTATACAAAGAATCTTATGGTAATATCAACCGCAAAATTACTTACCGTTTTGTTGAAGATCTAGAGTTCATAAGCAATATTAATTGTACATAACTTATTTAGTTTAGAATAATAATTTCATACACTACTAATGCTAATTCTTATTGTTTACCTCATGACAAAGTGTGACAAACAGGCCGTGTCAACTTCCTAATAGCTGATGGGTGATGAGATTAAATAAAAAATGATTAAAATTATGTGTAATTTAAAATAATATTTCTTTCATGGCAAGATAACAAAACGTGCTAGGGAGATGGATATTATTCCATCTCGCTTCCTTAAAGCCCCCCAAGGTCATCTCCATAAAATGACCACAGAGTACATTTGGAGATGACCTTGGGGGGCTTTAAGGATATCCATCTCCCTCGCACGTGTTATCTTACCATGAAAGAAATATTATTTTAAATTACACATAATTTTAATCATTTTTTTATTTAATAATTATAATACTTTATTGTATAATATATTTCGTTAAACATATATTTATTACGTTTTGATTGAAGTAACAAAATGTATGAATATGAAACTCCATACTATAATAAAAAGGCAAGTTATGGCAACAGAAAATAAACAAAATTATAAATGGCCATTGTGTTATATGTACTACGTACGTAGTACATATAACACAATGGCCATTTATAATTTTACTCAATGGGTGGCTACTGACCTGCCTGCCGCAGGGGCAATCTAGGAAGCACCGCGATCGGAGCAATATCGGAGCTGTCTCTACACACACGCTTGCCGTTCAGTATGAGAGTGTACGTCTCGCTGGACGCACGCGTTGAAAATGGCGCCAGTTTTATCGAAATATCAATGAATCAG